TGGGGACATGCGTGTGCAATGCAGGGATGTGACTGAAGCACGTGTGTGGGTATGGGGACATGTGTGTGCCCAGCAGGGACATGTTTGGAGCATGTGTGTGTGTACAGGGACACTTGTGTGTAAAGCAGGGACATTATGGAAACACATGTGTGTCCATAGGGGCGCGCATGTGCACATGGGGACACACACGTGCAATGCAGAGTTGTACCTGGACGGTGTGTGTGAACATGGGGACACGTGTGTGCATGTGGGCACATGCGTATGCAGTGCAGGGATGTGCATGGGGCACATGTGTGGACATGGGGATATCCATGTGCCCTGCAGGGACATGCCTGGAGTGTGTGTGTGTGGACACGTGTGCAATGCAGGGCCGCACATGGATCATGTGTTTGTGTGTGCACGTAATGACACACCTGGAGCATGTGTGCATAGGGACACATGCATGTGGTGACACACGTGCAATACAGGAACACATCTGAACACGTGTGTATGTGTGGGGACACACTTTGAGCACGTGTGTATGTTTGGGGACCTGCATGCATGGCAGGGCCACATTTGGAGCACAGGTGTGTGCATGTATGTACATGGTGTTTCCTCATTACCATAGGACACAGATGTTGCATAACTTCCCTGTGCCCAACCAGGACCCCAAATGTTCACAGTGTTGGGTCCCCACCTCAAATTGGGCCTTGGTGGTTCACTACTGGGAAGCTTTCTTTGAGGTGTTGCTACCACCCAACCCTACGTCCATTTCTCATAGTGGCCATGAAGAGGACTCTAGAGGAACAAGGTGGTCCACACCAACCCAATGGGTACAGAGAACTCAAACACTCACCCATGGTTTGAACCATGGAACTCATGGATCCTTCATGAGGAGGTGACTCCTGCCCATCTCCACCCAGACATAACCGTGGTGAATTTGAGGTGCTTCAGACTGGTTGGTGTGGTAGGCCTCCACTGGGTCGTGTCTCAACGAGGTCCATGGCAGCACTTCATTGCACCTCAACCTCCCCCAGTTCACCCAACACAAATCCATGGATGCACCAACTCTTTGACTTGAGTTGGCCAACAGAGAGACAAACTGCACTGAAGAGGAGTGTGAAAGAAATGGAGCAGCTGGTTGAAAATCCACACGGGGTTTCAAAAAAAAACAAAACCCAAATCAAATCAAATCAAAGTAAGAAAATAAAATAAATGAAATTAAATATAAAATAAGATAAAAACAAAATAATTTTAAAAAATGAAATTAAATAAAATATAAAATAATGAAATTCTATGAAATGAAATGAAATCATAAAATAAAATGAAACAAAATGAAATTAAATAAAGTGAAATATGAAATAAAATATAAAATAATTTTTGAAAATGGAATGCAATGATGAAATGAAATAAAAATTAAATAAAGTTAAATACAATTAAATTAAATTAAAAATTAAATTAAAATAAGAAAATAAAAACCCCAAGATTGCAAATAATCACAGTTGCAGGATGCGGAGGAGGTCCTCAGAGGTTGCAATTAACCTGGATGAGCAATGTCTGCCTTTCCCTTGTCCTGCTGCAATGCAATCTTGCTGTCTCCTTGGGATCCCAGGATGGTTTTGGGTTGGGTCGACTGGAGGATGTCGAGACACAGTGACGTGGTGCCATGGACCTTGCTGAGGCACATCCTGATGGAGGCCCACCACACCATCCAGCCTGCAGCACCTCTAATTCACCAGGAATGGCATCCCAAAGGGACCTGGGGCTCCTCACCTGGACCTGTTGCTGCTCCCCATCATCCATGACCCCACCAGGTGCCTCCGGAGAAGACCCCAACCTTGAGTGATCCTGAAGCCAACAACCCTTGGCCATGTCTAGCGCTGATTAACTCATCAGTGTGTTAATTAACCACCGTGTCCCATCCACGTGACATCCAAAACCACTGTCCCAAACCCAAAATTGACATTTTTGCTGCTTGCTTTTGTTATTTTGGGTTTTTCACCCAACTGAAGACAACCCCTCATTGAAGTTCCAGCAGCAAGGGAACTGCCTGGGCTCCTGCAGAAGGAGAATTTTTTGGTTTTCCTTATGAATCTTCCCTCCTCTATCATTATTTTAATTAATTTTAAAGTGTTAACTTGAGTTAATTAACTTCATTTTAATTCATTCTGAATCACTGTGGGCAAGTTTGGGGTTTCTTTCTGAAGAAATTAATGTATTATTCCTGCTTCATTTCTGTGTTTCTAGCATGTGTTCATTCATAATTAGTTTTAAATATCCTTTAATTGCTCATAATTAATTAAATAACAAGTTTGATTTGGAATTGTTGCACGTGAATATTTTTAATACTTGACAATCTTTATAATTCCAGGTTTTTCCTTAAAATTTAACTTTAGTGCCCTGGCTGCAGTTTAAAATCCTTTCTTTCCTTTTTAAAAAAAAATATTCCCCCAGTCACATGTATTAATTCTTTTATAATAAGAAAACTTAAAAATATCTAAAAATTAGTATGTTCACTTTCAGTTTTCTCTGTACTTTAACTAACCAAGCACTGCTTATAGAGTTTTAATGCCTTTTAAATATGATGAAATATGAATTTCTGAAATACAAACTATGAGATTTTTTAACTAACAATCCATTCATGCCAAGGTGTTTACAAACATAGCTGTTATCTGACTTTTAATAATTATTTAAGCCAGTATACTTGCATTTTCACAGAATCACAGAATTTTGGAGGAAGCCTGCAGTTATTTTTATTTAACTGTTGCTTACAAAACACCACATAGATTTCTTTGGTCTTCAAAAGTGATCTTAGATCTTCAAAAATGAAAAAAACTGAAAAAATTGAAAAATCAAAATAAAATTAATAAAAGAGAAAAAGTCTGTATCTTCAAAAACTCAGATTGCAAAATTAAAAAAAGGGAAATATTTTGAGGTTTTCCCTGCAGTTTTTAGTTTTTGCTGAATTTCTCAACTGGAAGCGAGGCAGATGATGGGTTAATTAACCCAAGGGTTAATTTAATTTCCCAATTCCACCCGGGGGCAGGTGAAAGTTCCTCTTTGAAGTGTTTAAACATTTCTTAATCCTATTTTTCTCTCCTGTTTGCTTGCCAAACAGAGCTGGAGCCAAAGGGAAATTGCTGCTTTTGTGATTGTCTTCAAAAACTCAACTGTCCACATGACACCGGCAAATTCTCAAATTTCTGCACACACCCCGGGGAATCATATTTTAAACTTTTATCCTGGAGAGAGACTTTTTACAAGGGCACGTAGAGACGAGGCAGCCTAAGAGTTGTTTGCAAAATTAAAAGTGTTTTCTGAACGTTCTCCTGGGAATCACAGAATAGTTTGGGTGGGAAGGGAACTCAAAGCTCCCCCAGTCCAACCCCTGCCATGGGGACCCCCCCACCAGACCAGGCTGCTCCCTTGTCCAACCTGGCCTTGGGCATTGCCACAGAGGGGGCACCCACAGCATCTCTGGGCAACCCGTGCCAGGGCCTCACCACCCTCTCATTTAAAAATTTCTTCCTAATATCTAGTCTAAATCTGCCCTCTTCCAATTTAAAACCATCACCCCTCATCCTATCACTCCATGATTTGGTAAAAAGTCCCTCCCCAGCTTTCCTGTAGGCCCCTTGAAGTCCTTGTAGGCTGCAATAAGGTCTCTCTGGAGCCTTCCCTTCTCCAGGCAAGCAACTCCAACTCTCTCAGCCTGTCTCCAGCCCTCTGATCATCTCTGTGGCCTCCTCTGGGTCTGCTTCAACAGCTCCATGTCTTTCTTGCATTGGTTGCTCCAGAGCTGGATGGGAGACTCCAGGTTGGGTCTAACTAGAGCAGAGTAGAGGGGCAGAATCCCCTCTCTCGCCCTGCTGGCTACACTGCTTTGGCTGCAGCCCAGGACACAGTTGGCTTTCTGGACTGCAAGTGCCCATTGCTGGCTCATGCTGAGCTTCTCATCAACCAACACCCCCAAGTCCTTCTCCTCAGGGCTGTTTTTGACCCATTCTCCACTCAGCTTCTGTTTGTGCTTGGGATTGCCCCTGCCCAGGTGCAGGACCTTACACTTAGCCTTGTTGTACGATGGCTGCTTAACAACCTCGCAAACTGTTACAGAATCACAGAATCATAAAGGCTGGAAGAGACCTCTGAGATCATCAAGTCCAACTGTCAACCCAACACCACCATGTATGCTAAACCATGTCTTGAAGTGCAACATCCACTCACTTCTTGAACACCTCCAGGGACGGTGACTCCACTTAGGGCTGGTTTGATGGTTGGACTCGATGATCTTAAAAGTCTTTTTCTTGCTTGACCACTCTTTCAGTAAATAAATATCTCACAATACCCCATCTAAACCTCCCCTGGCACAATCTGAGGTCATTTCCTCTTGTCCTATCACTGGTTACATGGGAGAAGAGACCACCACGCACCTCTCTACAGCCTTCTTTCAGGTAGTTGTAGAGGACGATGAGGTGTTCCCTCTGCTTCTTCTTCTCCAAAGTGAACAACTCCAGCTCCCTCAGACACTCCTCATAATTCGAGGTTTCTCCAGACCCTTCACCATCTTCATTCCCCTTCTCTGCACATGGTCCAATGTGTTTAGGGCAGCAAGGGAAGGGAGATGAGAGCTTGGTCCATCAGAAAATAGCCTTAGAGCTCCTTAAATGCCCTACAAGCCAGCAGTCCCTTATCCACACAGCCTACTTTTGAGGTAGAATCCGCATGAGAAATAATCGGAGACTATCTGGGTATCCATGTATTATCCCATAATACACATCCCATATCCTGAAGATCTCCTGATGGTGGGGACATGGGGTGGATGGTCTCCTGTCTGAGACCCGCTATGGGACACAGGTTGCCCAGAGAAGTTGCGTATGATCCCTCCCTCATTGTTTTCAAGACCAGGTTGGACAGGGCTTTCGTTTCTTGGCTTTAAGTCATCACCCTTACCCCGTCTCTCTCCCTCCCCATGGTAGCAGTGCAGAGCTGCAGCACCCCAATCCCATCCCCACTCAGACGTGATGCTGATCCACTACGTGACGTATGAAGGCATTACATTCCTCCCAGCCTACAGCTACGAGCACAACTTGAGTTTCAGCCACAATGAGTTCCTGGTGCGGGACGACGACATCTTCAATGTCACCTATCCCAAGTCTCGTATGAGGGGTGAAGAGAGGGGCTGGCCAAAGGTAGAAAGGGGCAAGGAGAAGTGTGAGGGATTTGGAAACATCTCTAGATGTTATTCAGAAGGACAGTCTTTTCTTGTGGTGGAGAACAGGAATGTTTTTGGAGGGTTTTACCACAGTGATTGTTCATGGGCAGAGCAGAACCATCTCTTGGGAGTGCACGGACTCATCTTTACTTTCCCTGGCAGGCACCGTTTGGATGACTGAGATGCTGAGCCTCATCCACACCCATGGCCACCTCAGCTGGAACCAAACTGTCCTCAATTCTGATTGCGTGCCCTGGTTCCCAACCTATCTGGGTTTGGAGGCAGCTCTCAGCTACTCCCCACCTTGCCTGCTGACCTGCTACCTCCCCAGGCACATCTTCCCCAAGTCTTTCTCCCAGTCCAGCGCCAAGGTGGGATGAGGACTCATGGAAAGCTTCAAGTGGCATGGGGGGGGCAGGGAACACCATCATCCAGGATCTGGGGAACCGTAGTGTGAGAGGTGTTGTGTGAGGACCTTGGTGGTTGCCTGGGAGAGTAGCAAGTGTCCTTCATGCCCTTCAGATGGAAATATTCAGAGACTCATCTCATATGCTGCCCCTCCTACATATTTTGGAGAGTCTCCAATAGTTCTAAGGGACCAGTGTGTTCATGGAGACCCCTGCCCAAGGTCTACATGAGTAGCACAGAGTTGGTCATTCTGTGTCAGATCCTTCTTCAGATCTACACCTACTCCCCTTCTCCTAACTGGAGCATATCACTCCTCTACACACTCTACCCCAGGTTATTTACACCCTACGGGACCCTTGAGATGTTGTCGTCTCCTACTACTATTTCTCCAAGATGTGCAACAGCTATGAGGATCCCACGTCCTTTGAGCGGTTCCTGAGGGTCTTTCTGGATGGGGAGTGTGACCGTGGTTTGGGGCTTACTCAGGGGTGGGTGGGCAGTGTCTTCCATTCCTTCTGGCTCAAGGGTCTTCTGCTATGGTCCACTGATGATGGCTGTGAAGCCAGGCTTGCCACAAGAGAGAGGTGAATGGCTCAGGAGGAAAGCACAGCTCTTCTGGAAAGACACACAGGTCCACAAAGCCCTGTTGTGCTTTGAAACGGATGGAAAGTCAGTTTCTCTGCTTTTTTCCTGCAGAGTTCATATGTCTTCAGGACGCCTTGGTCAATAAACCTTATAAAGCCCTTGCAGGACCTTACCCATGAGCTTTGCACACCCCTAGCTTCAGCCTCTTCCTACCGTGGAGGTGGCTGGAGAAGTACCCACTGCTCAGCTGGATCTCCCAGTCCCAACTGCTCCCTAGACACCATGGCTGCCCTGCTCCCAACCTTGTGTGAACCCTCCTCAGTCTTGCCCTGCCCTGACCTATTGCCTTTTACCTTCTGTCAGTGCCCCATGGCTCCTGGTTTGAACATGTCTGAGACTGGATGGAAATGAAGGACATGGAGAACTTTTTCTTCATCACCTATGAAGAGCTGAAACAGGTAGACACCTAGGCAGACCCTCCAGCTCCACACATGCTGGTGTGTCACAAGCTCTGGTGGTAATAGGCTCTGTCTCTCCCTCCAGGACCTTCCTGGCAGCATAAGATGTCTCTGTCGGTTCCTGGGGCAGGATCTGGATGAAGAGGCCATCTCCTCTGTGGTTCAAAATGCCTCCTTCACAGTCATGCAGGAGAACCCAATGTGCAGCTCTGTCCTGCTCCCTGCAGACATCATGGATCAGACAAAGGGCCAGTTCCTGAGGAAGGGTGAGCAAGAGGGATTCCATCACAACATCACAGGGTTGTGTCAGACAGAGCAAGGATGGCTTGGAGAGCCACATAATGGTGCATTTGGGTCTGAAGAGCAGGGTCCATAGTCATAGAGCCATAGGATAGAGTCATTGAATGGTTTGGGTTGGAAGGACCCATTGAAGGTCATCTAGTCCAATCTCCTTGCAATGAGCAGGGACATCTTTAACTAGACCAGATTGCTCAGAGCCCTGCCCAACCTGACCTTGAATGTTTTGAGGGATGAGGATAGTCTTTCATTTTGGACATTCCCCAAGAGCTGAGCCTCTCCCCTTGTGCCTATAGAGCAGAGAGAGAGTCTTCATGCTGCAGTGAGCTCTAAGCCTGAAATGCTTCTTCCTCAGGCATCTGCGGGGACTGGAAGTACCATTTCACAGTGGCACAGAGTGAGAACTTCGACATGATCTACAAGGCCAGGATGGAGGGTCTGAACATGGCCTTTCCTTGGGACAGGTGTTAGAATTCAGCCCTAACTGAAGCCAGCTGAACACTGGGTATAAAGCACCCATGGGCAACTGGTGTAACTGGTTGCTGTTGGTCAGACGGGTTTGTACCTGGGGCTGCAAATGGTACTGAACCTTAGCATGCAAGCAATTAATTTCATAAAACCATAGAATCTAAGAGTCATTTAGGTTGGAATTTACCTTGAAGATAATCAAGTCCGACTGTAAACCTTGTACTGCCAAGCCCACTGCTAAGCCATGTCTCTAAGCACCTCATCTATCCTGTGATAAGATGAGTGGAAATGGCCTCAAGTTGCACCAGAGGAGGGTTAGACTGGATATGAGGAAAAATTTCTTTACTGAAAGAGTGGTTAAGCACTGGAAGGGAGTGCCCTGGGAGGTAGTGGAGTCACCATCCCTGTAGCTGTTAAAAAAATGCATAGATGTGGCACTTCAGGACGTGGTTTAGTGGCCACGGTGGTGTTGAGTTGACAGTTGAACTTCATGATCTTAGAGGTCTTTTCCAACCTTAATGATTCAATGATTCAGTGATTCTATATTTATAACTAGAGGAAGATGTCTTAGATCCTATACGGTGACTCCAGCATCACTCAGTGCACATAACCCACCCATCTTGCCTTTGGAGACATTAGGATATCGGACAGAGGCCAGTGGGATGTGCTATGGTGTGTGCAAATGCTTTCCATCAAAGATGAGACCACTAAAGGGCTTCACTGACTTTGGCAAAGTGTGCCTTGTACATCCAGAGTTACTCAAAACCTTACTCAGCAGGAGAAGAGCCCAAAGAAAGTAAAAAAGAGCTTTATTCTAGCAAAAAAGGGTTCAGTTCATTATTACCCTTTCTCTGCCTTCCCCAAGCTCCCACTTCCTTGCCACTCTGCAGTGTACCCAACACATCCCATCTTCATCCCATAGAAAACAACTCTCTGGCAAGCTTATAAATTAATTAATAGAAGCATAGAATCACAGAATGGTTTTGGTTGGAAGAGACCTTTAAGATCATTGAGTCCAAACATCTAACCAGCCCTAAGCTCACCACTAGACCGTGTCCCTAAGCACAACATCCACTCGTCTTTTAAACACCTCCAGGAATGGTGACTCCACCACATACCTGGGAAGCCCCTTCCAGTGCTTGACAACCCTTACAGTAAAGAAATTCCTCCTAATATCCAACCTAAACCACCCCTGGTGCAACTTGAGGCTGTTAACCCTTGTCCTATCACTCCCTACCAGGGAGAAGAGGTTGACCTCCACCTCACTACAACCTCCTTTCAGGAAGCTGTAGAGGATTATAAGATCTCCACTCAGTCTCCTCTTCTCCCGACTAAACAACCCCAGCTCCCTCAGCCACCCCTCATAAGACCTGTGCTCGAAACCCTTCAGATCAACAGCTACAGATCAATTCCTACTACCTCAAACATTTTGAGCTGAAAAACAGTGCAAATACATCCTCTGGCATGGGACAAAGAGTCCATCCAAACAAAGCACCATGAAGAATGAGCACAGCTAGTCCACTTTTTGAGGTGCTAACCCTCAGCAGTATGAATGTCAGCTGGTTCATGCCTTGGCTGCATGGAGTTGTCTATAGAGTGGAGGGGACGTGGGAGTCTGGGTCTACCATCCAGGGACAGAGCATCCTACCGCTTGTATATCTGGCATGGTCAAGACTGGGAGGAAGCCTCACGTCAACTGAAAATTTAATTGGATTGTGAACACAGACAAACCTTACAACCAAATTTCACAAAGACTTCCTGTCTCTTGGGACAAACATAGAAATAAAACTGGAAAAAAACTTCCACTTGTGGAAAGCGATACTTTCAGCAGTGGGAAAAGCTTTCTTACATCTTCTTGTGCTGCACGAGCAGCATAGGATCATACCAGTTTTCCAGCTACATCTGAACACTGAAGCCCTATTCCTGCCAATGCCAGAAGCCACCCTGTCTGTCCCCATCCCTGCCACCTGTCGTCCAGAGCCGTCTGTCCTGAAACGACTTGTTTGCTCAGTGAATTCCCGAAACAGCCCATTTTCACAATCCCATGGTTTACGAGATGCTCTTGACCCAAGAGTCGCTTCCGGCCAGAGGCTTGGTTTATTGTACTTGCTGAGCACCTGCCGCAGGGCATGGAGGGAGGGTTTTGGAAGGGAAGAGAAGGGGAGGAGCCATGACAAAGTGAACTCCTCAAATAGCCAGTCCCTTGGGGGCATATCCTGCCTTTCACTGCTCTGCTCTCCCGTGGAGATGATGAGCTTTGCTGCAAACATGAGTCTTGTCCTCCTGGCATGTCTCTGGGGTAAGTGAGATGGGATGTTTCTTCTCTTTGCTTTTGGCTGAGCATGTCTTTGCCAATGGTTCTCCTAAGGGTTAAAGGTTTATCAAAGACTGGCTGCCTAGGGAAATGGTAGAATCACCATCCTTGGGTGTATTTAAAAGCTGTCAAGATATAGTGCTCAGGGACATGGTTTAGAAGTGGGAATGGTGGGATTAGATAACAGTTGGACTTGATGATCTTAAAGGTCTTTTCCAACCATAACAATTTTATGAATCTATGATTATACTTCCAGTTCTACAGCCCATAGCACAAAGCAAATGGGACATTGCGAGAAACTGAAATACTGTTGGTGGCAGTGACTTTGGCAGCTTTACCATCATAGATGTCAGTTGATTCTCAACATGAAGCAGCAAAGACCAGCTATTTATTTAACCAGGCACTCAATATCTTCTAAGGGAAGCGGTGTCCATGCTGTCTTTAAATATCATCGTCACTTTCTCATGCATGGCACTATCAAGCCTTAATATCACTGGCATGATTAGGGTGAAAACTCAACCATTTGTTGAGTTTCATCATCAGAACTGCTGTGTTCATCAACCTTTGCTATCACCGGCATGCTTAGGGTGAAATCTCAACTATTTATCCTTGTTTCTCTGATGTGGGTCCCTAACCTGCATGGGTTCATAAAATCACAGAATGGTTTGGGTAAGAAGGGACCTTTAAAAGTCATCCACTCCAACCCCAGCAGGGACATTCTAAACTAGATCAGGTCGCTCAGAGCCCCAGCCAACCTGATGTTGAATGTTTCCAGGGATGGGGCATCTACCACTGCTCTGGGCAATCTGTTGCAGTATCTCACCATTCTCATGGTAAAATATCCTTTCATCATCTTTGTTCCCATGTGTCTGGTATAAGATCAGACCTGGTGGCAATGGGCAGAGGTACTAAGCGTGCTTGGTGGCTATGGTCTGTGGGTAGGCACTTTAGGCTCTCAAGGTGATGTTACCTGAATACAACTGAAACTTACAGCAGAGATGGATCACCATTAGACATCTCAATCCATAACCCTCTAAAAATTAGCTAAAAAAAAAAGGAGATGGAAAAAAAGATATACCTGGGCAATAATGCTAATGTTTGTCCTGGTGTCAGCAGCTCTGCCCTTGCCCACAGCTGTTGGACAATGCTTGGGATTTTGCCAGACTGCTGCAAAAATTGTTTGTACTGAGTTCTTCTTTGCTTTTGCAGTGGGCACAAAGTCCCCTTCTCCTGAGTTTCCAGGAAAAACAGATCCTGGCAAGTTTTTCCTCACACTTTCCCTCCAGGGCTTTGCCTCACTCTCTAATTAATGCTTAGGGAAATCTTTAGGGAGTCTTTAGGGAGAGACAAGCACCTCCAGCCCTGATTTGACCCTCTGCTCTGGACATCAGCTGTAGGATGAGATGAGTATCCATCAGCCATGACTCAATTCTTTTAACTGAATGTCACAGCAGCCTAGGTAATCTCCCCTCCCCTCCCCTCCCCTCCC